GGCCCTTCTTAGTTGGAATCAGTTATGCTTTCTGACCAAGAATTTATACTATTAATCTGCTTGTTTCTATCAATGGCCATTAGGCTTTTCTACCAAAGATCAGAGTGTAGTATCTATCTGATACCCTGGCCATTCTTAGTTGGAATCAGTTATGCTTTCTGACCAAGAATTTATACTATTAATCTGCTTGTTTCTATCAATGGCCATTAGGCTTTTCTACCAAAGATCAGAGTGTAGTATCTATCTGATACCCTGGCCATAGAATCTATACTATTATTCTGCTTGTTTCTATGTATGGCCATTAGGCTTTTCTACCAAAGATCAGAGTGTAGTATCTATCTGATACCCTGGTCAGAAAACAGAATTGATTCCAGCTAAAATGGGCCAAGGGCACACATATAGGAAAATTATGGAAAATAAAACATAATATTTTTTTAAATCAACATTACAACCAAAAACGTTTTGCTTCTCTCTTTCTTTAATATACACACTTTTCTCTCATTGGAACTACTATAACTTCTTCCTTTTATATATATATATATATATATATATATATATATATATATATATGGATAAGAATTAACTGTTAGACCTTTTATCACAATGGCCGCCCCAGCCGTTTCCATAGTAATTAATTTTGCGAATAAACATGATTACAAAGTGGCGTAAATTTCAAGATTGTTTATTCCTAAATTTTTGCTTGAGGATGAAATAGGGCTTGATACCTTAATTCAATTTAATTTTAATAATTATATTGAGGATTTCAGCTCTTGTTTTTGAAACATGAGACTCTTATGTGAAGAAGGAATCATATTTTTGAAAAATAATTATAATATATATATATATATATATATATATATATATATATATATATATATTTATTTGGGAAATTGTATGACAAAGTGGAAAAAGTTTACTGGTGACATGTTTTGTCTTTCAGGACTTCATTGGAGAAAGGATGAAATGTGTCACAAGTAAATTTTTCCAATTTGTTAAACAATCTCCCCATATATATATATATATATATATATATATATATATTTAAATTAATTGTTGATATGGTTTTACAAAACGTTTTGAGTCAATTTTCTTTGGAAGACAATGTTTTTGCGATGCTTGAAATAAATTAGACAAGAGAATGTTTTTATTGACTTTGACTCCCTATTTGATACATTGTCACCTATTATTTATTATTATTTATACTAAAAGCACAGGCGAAGTAGTTGACACTAGAGTCTATCTGAATATTTAATAGAACTATGTTAAATTCAATTCGTAAGCATGGTAATTGAAGAGTATTATATTTCCTGTAACTTGATAACTCTCTGCACCTAAAAGTTGCAGGTTAATATTTTGATATATATTTTAAATTTGATCATTCTCTGTGAATTTTAAAATTTAAATAAATGTAATCAAATTTTATTCTGAGTGGGTAACCACCCAGTAGGGATATCATATTTTATCAATAATTTTCAATAAAAGGCCGTTTTCATTTTGTCTGAAATTGATTAATTAATACTTTCTAGAATATGTTCTAATATTTGTGATATAATTTGAATCTCTGTGATTTGTTTATTTTGCCAAATTCTAATCTATATACATATTAAAAGTTTTTCTTGGCAGACACTAATAAAAAGGCTTAAACACTAATATTCCATGGTCATAATTTATTCCATTGGAATCATAAATATGATCCAATTCATCAGATGATATTTACGATTCTGATGAATTGGATTGTATTTACGATTCCAATGGAATAAATTATGACCATGGAACATTACTGTTTAAGCCTTTTATTATATTCTTACTCTGTCCTGGACATTAAGTTCTACCTGGATTCTATCCTCTTGGAATTTTTATTCAAAAAATAAAATATATATATATATATATATAAAAAGAAAAAATACAGAAAAAAACAAAATTCTGAATATGCATTATTAATGTTAAAATAAAAATCGACGTCGGACGTTTCGGTCTATTTAAGACCATCTTCATGGACATTTTCATTTAAACATAATTAACATTATAACTTATAACAATTTAACACAAAAGACGATGGACATAAGAGCCCAACTAATTCAGACAGATAACTGAAATTTTATACAGATCAGCGTTCTGTTTCATTTCGACTTTTTGATATTTTAATTTTTGGAAATCATCTTCGAATACGTCTTAACAACATCGCCCATGTGACGACTACGTGATCATATTTAAACAGAACGCTGATCTGTATAAAATTTCAGTTATCTGTCTGAATTAGTTGGGCTCTTATGTCCATCGTCTTTTGTGTTAAATTGTTATAAGTTATAATGTTAATTATGTTTAAATGAAAATGTCCATGAAGATGGTCTTAAATAGACCGAAACGTCCGACGTCGACTTTATTTTAACATTAATAATGCATATTCAGAATTTTGTTTTTTTCTGTATTTTTCTTTCATACTGTCGGATTTATATCCATATATTTGCTTACATATATATATATATGTATGTGTATGCATGTATGTATATATATTTATATATTTTGCATATATATGTGTATATTTACCACTAATATTATCTATATATATATATATATATATATATATATATATATATATATATATATATATATATATATATATGACATCAAATGACAATTAGAAAAAAATCTTACATTTTGTCGATGCGTTTTCCTTCCGACTTTTTTTTCAGTAAAAATGAAATCGAAATGTTTTTTGTTGTTATAGTTACATTAAAAATCCAAATTTAAAAAGATAGACGCTTCTGTCTAAGACTTTTTTTTTCTGGTTAATGTAAATTACCTTTATAGTATGGGATTATTATTATTATTTTTTTTTTTTTTTCCATATTATAATATATATTATAATATTATAATAATAATCTGTCTTGTCCACAGAATTCATCTGGGAATTTAACCATATATATATATATATATATATATATATATATATATATATATATATATATATATCAAAATTATAAAATATACATGTTAAAACCTCACTACAAAAATTGCAATTTTGTTTCAACACTTCTGGTGGCTTATCAAGTGATAAGTGTACTTGGGTATATACACTACAGTTCAAAAGTTTGAGGTTGCACCTGGTAATATTTTAAAGTGGACCCAAAAGTAGTTTTTTTTTACTTTAAAATTATTATACTTAGTTAAAAAAAATGACACGATTTTTTATTAGAAATTTTATCATGACAAAAAAAAAATTTTATGATTAAATTTTCATCTCATTAAAATATTCAACACAAATTTTTGGCATTTGTTGCAAAAGTTTCTCAAAGTATAACGTCTCTTGAGGTTCGCCTATTTAAAATAAAAGAAACAGGGCGTCTATTTCAAGCACGGGATTCCACTAAAAATAACGTTAGAACTAATAAAAATGTTGGATTAAAAACAAATCCATTAATTCTTTAATATATATATATATATATATATATATATATATATATATATATATATATATATATATATATATATATATATATATATATATATATATATATATATATATATATATATATATATATATATATATATATATATATATATATATATATATATATATATATATATATATATATATATATATATATATATATATATATATATATATATATATATATATATATATATATATATATATATATATATATATATATATATATATATATATATATACATATATATATATATATATATAGACATTGTGTTATGTCATGTTAGTTATTTACATGGGTAGTGAAACAATTTTGGAAAGAAAAAAAAATCACTAATGTCTGTTTGAACTATAACTTTTTAAAGTGTAATGTTCTTGAAAAACTGGTTTTCATTTTTAAATTCAGTTTCTAATCAAGGGGAAGCAAATAAAAAATAATTTTGTTTTATTTCTTAAAAACGTTTTGTTTTTAAATGTAATGCAAACGTTTTGAAATCTAATAAAAAAATAGATAGATAGATAGATAGATAGATAGATAGATAGATAGATAGATAGATAGATAGATAACATCAGTAATCTTATTTTTACATCACCTTGTGCAAACCTTGAACTTTTGACCTGCGCTTTTTACCGTATTTCTTAGTGACCTGTTTCTTACGAAACATAACATAGCGAGCGGGAAGATCACCATTTTGACGGATGACAAACTGAGCTATAAACAGTCTACACGCTTACACCGTCCTTCGTTAACTAAACAAACACTCGGCAGCTGAAAATAAAACGACCACAAATGGCTCAGTTACCTTATGATCCTTACCGAGATCTGAGTAAGTTATTTTTTATTTCAAGTTGTGAGGAATTATTTATTTTATTTCATTAACTCCCAACAATTTAAAAATCAGGTTAGGAATTAGTTCATGTTCGATCATCCGTAGAAAGCGGCTGCTTTATGTTTTCGTCAATCGTTGTCGCTGGGTTTTTTGTATCCATCATGGCCGCCAAGGAAAATTTTTACTACATAAATGCATTGGGAGAATGAGGTAAAAAATATAAAAAAAAAAGGAAAGGAAAGATAATACGGTCTTGTAGTAAAATAAGTAAATAAATAAAACGGAAAGACTAAAGAAAAAGTAGAAGATACTAAAAAGAAAAAAAAATGTGAACATCATAAGGACTAAGGAATCATAGATAGATAGATAGGTATACAGATAAGCACTCTCTCTTTATGTGTGTGTGTAATGGTGCGAGAGAGAGAGAAAGATATTGTCCATAAGTTGAGGTTTTTAAAACGTAAATAGATTTATTTATATTCGTCAATGTTTTTTTTATTGTCGTCTTGTAAGTCAAATGTTTCGTTTTAGTTAACAAAATCCTAATAATACTAAAGAAAAAAAAAATATAGCCCAAAAAAAAACCTAAAAAACTATTGTCGTCATTTCACAGTTACACAATTTTTCCCCCTAAATGGATTCCTCCGATATAGGTAAGAAGATATCTACTTTTCCATTCTTATTTTTCATTTATTTTTAATCGTCTTTCGACACCTAAAATGACCTCTTCAGAAAGCTGGGTTCTTTCTCTATCTTTTTCAAAGAAATTTCTGTCCTTTTCGTGTCTGTTTTTGTCCGAATATTTGCCGTCTACTTTGTTTGATCCATGGTTGTTTTTTTTTTTTTCTTTGCTTTCCCCATGAAGTAACATACTTTTTAATGTCACAATTAAAAATGTCTTTTATAGTGTGTTGTCTAAAAAAATACACTTAAAATCACTTTAAACACTTACATTATATATATGTATATATATATATATATATAATAGATGATTTTTTTTAAATCTACATTTTTTTGTGTATCTTTGCTCGGCAATTTTTTTTAATATTAAATCCAATTTTTGCGTTTATTTTCATTAAAAATCATTTTTTTATCCGCCATAATTTGATTTGTTTTTATTTTAATTTAAAATTTGGATTCCTATTTATTTTTAAAATATATTTAAAAATAATATAATGAAAGGTTCTTTGTTTGTATATTCAATAACACCAAGATGTTATTAATTTTGAAAAAAATAAATTAAATAATTAATATTTCATTCAAAGGTAAAAATTTAAAGTCTTAAAAAAATGTCACAATTTTAATTGCATATTGAAATTAATAATTTATAATAATTTGTATATTTTCTTATATTTTTAAACTTTTAAATAAAATAAAACATTATTTTTTTTGTCACATTCATTGTTCTGTAATTAAAATATTTAGATTTCTCTTGAAATAAAAATATGTAAACAAAGGGAATTTAGTTTTTAGACTTATTTGAAAATCTTTCATTTTTTATGTGAATTTTATATTTAAATATTTAACTTTAAAATTAAATTAAAATAAAAGAAACTAAACACATATCTTTTTTAATTTTAGGTAAAAATAAAATAAATTATCATGTTTTCTATATATAAATTAATTAATATCTTAATTTTTTATTAATAATTTTCATTGTATCAATGTTTATTGTAAAAAAAATTTAAAATAAAATTAAAATACATGTTTACTTTACACAAAAAATGTCACAGTCATTGTATTGTAAATTGCAATTGTTATGATTTTATTTCAAATATTGTATTAATTTTCTTAATTTTTCACCTTTCAAAAAATAAATAATTTATAGTAAATTTGAATTATGTTATATGATAAAAAAATCTATCTTTTCCATAGTTGCAGTTTACTGTTTAGAATTACTAAGTTTCTTTATTTTTTTGTAGTACAAAATTTGATAGTATTTCTTTGTCGCCAGATTTTATAATTTTTTTGTTTATTATACTGTTTCAAAAAAATATTCCGATTTTTCATCAATATTCCTACATAATTTTCAAATTATTTATTAATCACATTTTATAAAAATAAAATATTTTTAAAATATAAAATATTATTTATTTTTAATTTTAAAGTATCTTATTTTCAAAACATAAATTTTCAGAACCCATATTATTTATTTTTAATTTTTTAAGTATCTTATTTTTAAAGTACATAATAAAATAACAAAGTATCTTATTTTCAAAGAAAATAAAATAAATCAAAAACCCATATAAATATAAAATATATAAGTATTTTATTTCCAAAACATTATTTTTGGTAATTAATTTTGCCTTGACATCTCAGATTGCATGTTAAAAGAAAGGTGGATTATTATTTTAGGCATATTTCGATGATTAATAATATTTTTTACACCATCATCTCAATACAGTGTCATCATCTTTTCACACTTTCACTCTCAATAAAGAGCATAATATATATATATATATATATATATATATATATATATATATATATATATATATATAAAAAAAAAACGTAAAAAACAGTGACTGTTTAGTGTTTTATTTATATCCTAGTTTACTCACGCGGAGAATAAATCCTGAGGTAAAATATAATTTTACATTTTTAATAAAATTCAAATTTTAATTTCATTTTTATCGGACCTGTTATAAATCACGTCCAATGTATTTGAAACATTTTTTTTTTTTTACTTATTAAAAAAAAAAACGAAACAAAAACAATCCTTTTTAAACCCAACAATAACATCTAATCCGGTGTCCATTGGAAAAATGGCGGTTTACTAAAGTTAAAGTAAGATCACGAATTTCTTTTTTAAAATATCGCGTTTCTTATAAAATTTTACTTTGCACTAAGTGTAAAAAGTTGGCGGTGTGGGGTCTGGAATTTTAAGGTAATTTAATTAAGGTGATGAACATAGATTTGTGAGTTACAATGTGAAGTCAATGATGATCTGATTTGATCTTGTATCGGATTTTTGCCCCCCCCCCAAAAAAAAAGGTATTTTGTTAAATAATTTAAATGCTTGATACCTGAAAATCAATTTTATTTTTTAAATAAAGGTGGACCCAGAAATAATGTTATTAATATTTTTAAAGGGGTCAGGGTGATGGTTAATCGAATTGGAATATTGATTATCTGTTGAAAAAAATGAATAATAAATTGTAGGGCTCACTTTTATTTTTCACTGTCTCTCTTGTTTGTATTGATACCAGATCTCAAATTTATTTCAACCCCACGTCATAAAAATGCAACCCCCTTTTTTCACATTTATTTTTAGTTTACTAAATGGACTTTTTTATTTGTTTACTTTTACAATATTATTTCGTTCAATAATGTAAAATTCATTTATTTTTTTAAAAATAAACCCCAAACAATTACTTCAATTTTTCTGGTATATTTTGTGTGTGGTAAGGGATTTATTTAGAATACAGAGCCTCTTCTTTCTTTGTCTCTACACAGACCCAATCCCTTTCTTTTTCGGTGAAGGTGGGGTGCGTATGGATACGCCTTCCCCAACAAAAGTGAGTTTTTATTAGTAATGATGAGCTCTTACCCCCACTTTGTAATAAATAATAATAATAAATAACAACAACAAAAATGCTTTGTTGTTGGTCATCTATTCCCAATTTTTCTTTTATCAATATAGCAGCAACAATAACAAATAATAATACCATGATGGGGATTTATTCTCTAAATTATCAATTGCATGAGGGACGGGATGGAGTCTCCTAATATTTTCTTTTTTTGTTTTTGTTTTGGTTTCATATCAAGGAAGCTTATTTTGCAGATGTTTACTTGATTATTCATTCATTTTTTGTCTTTTTTTTTCTTACCCTAATTATTCCTAATCCTCTTCCTGCTTTTTTTGTTTGTCTTTCTTTTATTTTTAAGTTTCATCTATTCTTTTTTTTTTTAATTATAAATATTCCCCTAGGAAGACTTAAAAATATGCTTTAAGCCGGAGCACCTTTTTTTGCTGATCATCAACTTGTAAAATCTTACAAGTGTTATTTATTTTTCATGACGGAAAATAAAATTTATAAATCTCCGTTTTTATTTTTGTTATTGTACTCATAGTCAAAAACATTCTTATAATGTCTAATTGTGACTATTTTCTTGATTGTTAATAATAACGAAGAAATAAACTTCAGAAAAAAGGGGGGGGTGAATTAAACTTGTGGTTTAATATTTGGGAGTGGGTTGTAAAATCGATTTGTGCTAAAAAATCTAAAAACAAACCTAGGCAGCTGGGTTCTTTCAGAAAATTCGTCTGCAACACCAGACAATGTTTTAATTTATTTTTATTTATTTATTTACTTATTTATTTTCAACCTTTGCTTTTCAGGTACGTAATTAATTACGAATTTATTAAAAAATAAAATAAACTAAATATCAGGGACCATTTTTAAATATTTTCTAATTTTTTCGTAGTTTGACAAAAATAAAACAGTAACTCCATTTTTCCTTTTAAAAAAATTCGGTATTTTAATTTTCATTTAAATTTTAAAATTATTAAATGTTTTTTTTTTAAATAATGCATATGGAATATAAGTGAAAGTAAAAAAAAATAACTGCCTTGCAGTCATTTTATGTCGGCCACGTTTCGTCGGTCCTCCTCCTCCTCTGTACGTTTACAAAAATAAACAATACAAAAAAAACGTTGAAATGCTTTTAAATATTTGATTATATAATTTATCAGTATTAAATTTTAGGTATTTTGTTTAGTAATTGATAACTTATTGGGGTCTGCCTATTAATCTTCGAATTCATTTTAATCTAAAAATAAATATATTTATGTTTTAAAACCTACTGATGATTTGTGTATATATAAATTATCATTGCAGGTTCGTTTCAGTACATTTTTTTTTCATTACACAGTTGATGTTGAAGAATTCTAACATAAAAACTTTCATCTTGATAATACAGATTTTACTTTTAAATAAATTTTTTCTTTATGGGTACGTAACTGTCGCAATCAACTATATTTCGGAACTTTTTAAAATAAAATTTACTAATAAATTCTAACTCTGCATAAGTGGTAAATGCTTTTATTTTTTTTAGATAATTCATAAAGTACCTAACTGGAGAGGCTCAGTCATGATTTATTACATAACAGTTCAGTTCCAGAGCAATACACTTATCTTGTAGAAAATATTTTTAATGAAAAAATCAAATCAAAAAGTTACTTTTTAAAAAAAAGTTTTTTTTTTCTGGCATTTTTAATAAAGTGCTTGTGATTTTGATACGAATATGTCCCTCTAAAAATTTTGATATAACTATCTTTTCTAAAGTCGTACTGCTGTGAGAAACAAAATAAAAAAATCACAGATGAATTTTTACAAAGACAAAGGTAAAAACAAAAAAAAAAAGTTAATTTTTTTTTTTCATTATTTAACTTAACAAAACTGAAAATAAGCTAAAACTTTTAGAGCCAGTCTCTTTTTTCTAATAATCGTCTTGTGTCTACTAATGTTACTGTTATTTTTTTTTAATGTGACATGAATGATGAAAGCTAAGTAAATATTGAAAGTACTTGTTAAAATTTACAGTACTGACCAGTAAAATATTTCTCTGACAAACTTTTTTGCTTCATTGACTACATTGTTGTATTTTAATAATTTATATAACTTCCTTGAACTGTTTTGCAAAACTAGACTTATAATTTTTAAAATATTAAATTTTTAAACTCATTTAAAAATTAAAATAGAGTTAATTGGATTTTTGTGGGGTGGGGAACATAAAAAATTGTTTTTCAGTTCAGTATTTTGTATGAAAATTTAATTTTCGTAAATAAATTCCTGGACGATAATTCATTATTTTATTTTTAATCATTGAAAAATAATAAAAAATAATTTTTATACAAAATATGTCCTTAAGGCTTCTTAACTGATAAAATTTAATGCCAGTTAATGACATTTTATGAAAATATAAAAAAACATTTTGTTGAATAACATTTTTTTGGTTATTATGCATAAATTTACAATATGTGCATTCATATGCTTTGTAAATACAGTTAACATCAGTCAGTTCCCGAATTCGTGACGTTATTGTGAAAGAAAGCCTTTATTTTTCAACATAATCTCCTCCTTCCTTGTCAATGCTTCTCATCTTCAATGATCACACAGATCTAACAAAAAACTAACATTTATAATACGGTGGAAATTTTAAAATCAAAATTGAACTAACAGAAGCTACTAACTTATTGATCTAACTATGTACATTTTAAAATTTAAACTTTTATTAATTTTAAAAAGCATAGCCCAATTTTCGAAAAACAGACTCGTACAATTGTACAGGATCATAATTTCCTTTTGTATACAAAAAATATTTTTGTAAATGTCTGTTTTTCTAGGCAAATCACTTACTGCTAAACAAATACCAAAATAAACGTTTTTTTGGGGTTTTTTTAAGGTTATTTTTATTTTATGATTAGTCTTTTTTGTTTACGTTTAATTTTACTTTTCCAGAATCGTGATCTGAATTGTTTTTGTCTGCTGACGACTAATTTAACAATCAAAGCATGGTTAAAATTAAATTTTGACATGTTTGAAATATTTTCTTTAGCTTCAAAATTTTCCCTCTTGTGAAATAGTTTCAAATAAACTTTGAATAATACATATTTAAAAAAAAGTTAAACTTATGAATTCTAAACTAGAACATTTTTTTTGTAAAGTTTTCATATGAATGCAAATCTTTGGTAAATCATTTTGGCATGAAAGGTGGGGAAAATCAATTTTACACATCAACATTATCATTTGTAACAATTTTTATTTTATTTATATCTAATCAACAGACCGGACACTTAATTCTAGATAAAATCAAAAAGGCAGTGTGATGCTATCTATATCTCTCTCTCTTTCCCTTTTATCTGGGGAGTGATAGTGCTACCGGACCCAATTTTCCTCACCCCTTTTTCTGCTGCACCTGTCTTTTCTTTTCTCTCTCTCATTGAAGTAAGATGGGAAGCACATGTTCGTTTTAACTCAAAATGAATAGTAATTTATAAATTAACCCTATTTCTCTTTTTCTAGTCCCACCAGCCATTCAAGAGTGAAGAAGTGTGTATTTCGCTACAATTAATTTTTTTTTTTTTAGCAAGTTCCATCCTTAGGGTTGTACTGTTCTGGTTGTCATGTGTCAGGCTATAAAAATGATTTGATGGCCAACATTTTTAAATTTATATATATATATATATATATATATATTAGCTTTGTTACACTACACACAGTAAGTAGAGAAATACTAAATTCTGAAAATGTTACTGGACTAGAAGTAGTAGTACAGATATACCGTACACAACAGAGAGATGATGATTTTATTTCTGAGGCTGATTGATATGTAAAAATAAAATGTGGGTTTACTAATCATTCAATAATGCTCAAATTATTTTACTGATTCAACATATCTTCTCGTGTATATGTGTGAACAAAGCGAAAACGGTATCTTTAAAAATCTGTCTGTCCTACTAATAATGGCAACAGTGGCTGTAGTACATATGTACCGTGCCCAAACCTGAACCATGATGGTGTAGTGGAAATAGTTTTCAACATTGATCTTTTCTCTCTCTCTCTCTCTCTCGTGTGTGTGTGTCTGGTGCCGCCTTTCTTTGCTATATCGCTGGCTCAGGAATATCATCTCGGCCGCTGCTTGCTTAGTTCGCCTGCTTGTTCCTCTTGCAGCCCGCCCTCTCTTCCCGTTTTTGAAGAGAACGGCAATAATAAAAATTGCTAGCTATTGAAAATTGACACAAGTAGTCAATAGCCCTCTCTTCTCTCCATACAACAACTTTTACTCTTATTTCGGATTTTCTTGTACTTTATTTCTTCCTCTTATCTGTTTTTTTTCCACCTCCTTTTTCTTCAAGTATTCTTCGTCCTCCTCTTTTCCCGCGCGCTATTTTCCTCTCAGCTTTTCTCGCTTTCTTCCCCCCACCCCGCACACGTTTTTTTTTATCTCCTCTTATCCCTCGTTATTGTTGTTGTTATTATTATTTTGTTTTTCTTCTTCCGAGTATTTTTATTTTATTTAGAAAGACGAGCTTTTTAATATTTCTTTTTTTTAATTGTTTTTGTAAAAACTTTCAATAATAATCATTGTAATCAAGTGTTACAGTGTTATTCATTTTATCCAAATTAATATGGCTCTTTGTGGCGTTTTTTTTCCATTGTGAAAGAAAGAGAAAAGAAATCTGTGTAAAATCCCCTTCTTCCTTATTTTCTACTTCATTTCTTTTCTTGTATTCCCTACTCATACTCCCTTTTTTCCATTCTCATACTCCCTTTTTCTTTTACTATACTCCTTTCCCCCTTCCCATACTCCCTTTTCCCCCCTTCTCATACTCCCCTTCCCATACTCCCTTTTCCCTTGTCATACTCCCTTCCCCCTTGTCATACTCCCTTTTCCCCTTGTCATACTCCCTTTTTCCCTTCTCATAATTGTTTCTTCTTTTTCCTTCTCATAATTGTTTCTTCTTTTTCCTTCTCATAATTGTTTCTTCTTTCAAGAAATAACTTTGAGTAATCAACTGAAACCTTCATATTTGGCCAAAAACTTTCAATAATTGTAAGATTTTTTTAATTTGAAAGACAAAACCAAAAACCTAAATGACTATTGGAATGCACATTTAGTTATAATTATTTGATTTTGTTGGTATTTGTAGGTGGGTGGATGGAAGAATTGTATATTTTCTATAATTCTTGCTTGTTAAAAAAGCATTACCAAGTCCATGTTAAATGGATTAAAAATGTTACTGCAGTTAGCTATTTAACCATGTGCTGCAGCCTTCATTGTAAGTGACTTTTGAAATCTATGAAAGTTAATGTGTTTATCACTGTTTCTGTTTTATGTATGCTTGCAGAGAGTGCTTGCCCTAGAGCAGTGATTAGGTTAGCATGTTACACTCAACAAATTCATTCCTTATTATGTGCTTTACAAATCTGACCTTGTGTAACTAATATATCTACTTATCAATCTAATGAAATTTGCTTATGTCATAGTTTGTTAATTTGTATATGTGTGTGCTTTCTGGAAGAATATTGGTTAATCTTGCAAGCCATTGTTAGTAATAAGTTTGATCATCATTATTGGTTGTCCCACATTTGTGACCTTCTCCTTTATATCAGACTAAGTTATCTAGTTTATTTATTACATACATTCACAAAAGACTTTATGTACATTCTTTAAATTCAGTGCATTCTTTTATAATAGTATTTAAAAATTAAATTAAAAATTTTAAAGTGTTTAGGATAGTTCAGCTATTTTATATTTATATAAAAAATTGTGATTAATTTTTTTCTTTTTTTTTTTTTAATTATTTCTAATTACAATATTTATACAATCATTATAATCAAGCTTATTGAATTGCATTTTGAAAGAAAGCATTCAAAAGTTAATAAATAGAAAAAAATTATAAAATTAAAAAAATCCTTTAGTGATAAATATTTCCAGGAACCATATTAACTCACCTATAAGGTAAATATCTTTATCCTCACATACTCCACCTCAATGTATCCAATGCTATAGTATATTCAATGTGGTGGTATTATAAATGGGATGTTAATATGGGTTTGTGATGAGTTGTAGTGTATATTAATTTAAAAAATAATATAAAATGCTCAAAATGTTCATTTTATAGGCTAATAAATAATATTAGGTAGTTTTTAATTTTTGTTTTATTGATTATGAACTAGTATTTTAGTTATTGAGTTATTTTAATAATGATTCTATTGGTTTGTTATTTGTGAAATTCTAGAACAATATAAAATTTTACGAAAACATTTCATTGAGTTTACAAAATATAAAGACTGTACCTGTTATTTATTTATAATTTTTGACCCTTTGAATAAAGGAGTGAATATTGTGAAATCTTTCTTAATTTGGAGACATCAGTGTTAAATTGTTTTCATTTTTCTTGAATAGTTCAATTATTGAATCAGTAAATATTTATTCATTGACGATGGGGAGGAGATGTATGTTTTGTAATTTTCCCTTTTAAGGAAAATATGATTATTGAAGATTTTTAAGATAATTTAAACCAGAAAAGTGAGAATTTGTAAAATGTTTACTTAATTCAGAAACTGAGTCAGTTTTAATTATACATTATAATATAATGTATAGTTCTGTATAAAATATATTTGAAATGTGTATTAATATTTACTGACTTGAACAAACTACTCTGGAAAGTTATAAGAAAAAAAAAATCTCAAGATTGTCTATTTACTTATCAATTCTTTGTAACATGTGAGAAATGAAGATTAGGTTACCCTTGAATGTCCAACTTTGAGAACATTGCTCATGAATATACAACTGTGAATTTAATTATTGGCTTGTTGATTTCATAGACACAATGATTTTTCTTCCATGTTTTTTACATATGGTATATAAAATATGGAAGAAAAATCACTTTTTATGAAATCAAGAAGCAAAAAGCCAATAATTAGCACATCTTAATATTGGAAAGTGCCCAAAAACCATACCATATGTTAACCCGAGCCATGTGAGTGAAATTGGGTAGGCAGAATTGTTCAGATGTCAATGGTTGTACTAAAATGGTCACAAGTCATTGTTTGTGACCAAGGGTTCAATCATAGTGGATTATGTGCTCTCTCCCAGAAATTGTACCTAACATCCACTTGGCATGCTTGCAGTATAAGTAAGGGGTGGGGGGGACTTTGTGGGTTGAGCGAGTGTCTGTAATAGGGATTTGCTAGGCACCTTGGCATATGGGTGTGCTTGGAAAAATGTTTGGATATATATATATATATATATATATATATATATATATATATACACACACACACTTTTAGGTTAAAATATTTTTTTATTATCTTTACTCATTTTTAAGTCTATCAACAAAGGGTGATGATTCCACATATTCCCTATACCTTGCTTATTTCCCTTGATATTTCACATTACCATCACCAATCATTGTGTTGACAAAGAAAAAAAGCAAATGAATGAAACTGAAAAGAAAAAAATTGTACATTTATTCTGCTATGCTGAGTAGGAAGTTGAGAGAGAAGAGAAAAAAAAAAAAAAAAAAAAAATGAGTGAGATTTTTGTCATCTGTAAACCTTTGCCCCTCCTCATCACCTCCTATTTTTTGTTTATGCCTCTGAATCAAGAGTTGCATCCTATGAATGAAAGAATAACAAAGTCAATCTTCTGCAAACATTGATTTGATGGTCTCAGCAGATTAGCAGGCAGGTGCCAGAAGATGTCTTTGCCTATATGTGCATAAGAAATAAGTGAGGTTATTTACTCTTTGCTCCTGTTATAGGTATTGACATACTTTGAGAGAGACAGAGAGAGAGATTCTAGGAGGTGTTTTCAAAATTCCATAACACTAGAACAAAGATAATTATATAATTATCACTTTGTTTGGTCTTGTGGCTCAAGATGTTTCTCAGTTTCATCAGGTTACGACTGCTTCATTTTGAAAAGGAATTTTTTTCAAACAACAGGTTAGCAGCAATATGGTAATATCATCAACATAACAAACAAAGGGTTCAATTGTCCAAACAAAAGCGTGGAATGTAATAACTTATTTTCTTGAAAGAAATAAAAATAATTTATATAACATTTTCTGATTTATGAAAGTGGATTTATTATAAAATCCACTGAAATACTTGATTGGCTTGTTGTTTTACAAAAACACTATTTTCTAATATTGAAGATTTTACTGATTTCCTTTTGGTTTATTTATTTTTTTTAATATTATTTTGAAAATTAACCCTGCATGTCCTGAGTTAGACATTACTTACAAGATTACACCTAACTAGCAAGAAAAATCACAAGTGGTGATAAATATGGTACAACTACATCAGTCTTTATATTCAATATAGATCAAATTGAGTGTGCTTTTAACGTGAGTACTTAATAAGTTTAATTTAGTCTGACACAAGACTATGAGGATCTAATTTACTTCATTGGTATGATAGGCTAATTTTACTAATCGTTACACCACAATGAGACATTCTATAGATCAATGTCTTTATATATAGTTTTAAGGTATGCTATGTTCATGGATTAAAGTGCTCAATATCAGGGATAGAGTGTATGTAAATATTTAAGTGAACATTGAGGTCAATGCTAGTGACAAGAGTCTGTTTTATGCTTAAACACAATTTTTCAGACCATGTGTTTATGCCTGAAGCAGACTGTTGTTGCTGAGTGTTGACCTCAATGTCTACTTATATATATAAGTTTTTTTTTAAATCGTGTCCTCTTTTGTCTCTTAATTGTTTTGTATTTTGCCAACGATTGCTTTTGAAAAAGTGTTGGCCGAAAGGATCCTAAGGTAGAAAATGACGTCAATTTTGTTTAAGTCTATATTCTATTTCTGTGGGTACAAGTCTCTTATATATATATATATGTGTATATATATATATATATACAGTATTTATTTATATGTATACTATTGTCCTTAGTCTATTGTCCCTCATCTTTGTGACCATATTTATCACGCTCTGGCCTTCTTCAGGTGGTTGAATTTCAAGAACTGAACCCTTTATTTCGATCACGGGGGTGACTGTTCTAATTCCATGTTTGCTGGATGTCAGTTATCAGTTATCTCCTGCTAATTTTCCCTCTGAAAGTTCTCCACTGCCTTAACCAGGAATTGAACTCACCTTCTTTGGGTCTGTCACTGGATCTAACCAACGCCTTTTATCCACTGTGCCATGTCTTGGTGAACTTCTGAGTATTATAAACCTAATGTTTTCAGCATCATTTTACCAGTGCTCATATTGCAATTTTTGCTGTTATCATTGCATGTCTTTACCAGAGTTCATATTGCACCTTTGTTATCATTGCTTTTCTCTGGCACTCCTTATTACTGGTTCCCATATTGTATTTATTTCTATGCTTGGTCGGCTCAGGAGATTTTTGTGGCCTACATGTGTGCTGATTCCTTAAGTTTACGAATTTTCCAATGGTGTTCCCTGTCTAGATCTCAACATGATCCCACAGGGGGCGGTGATCCCCCTTCTCTCTCCATATGTGGTCAGCCACGCCTGATTTTCTACTTCCCCTCGCGTTACAGCTTTCTGGTGTTCTTGAAGCCTTACCTTGAGGGGGCGGCCTGTCTCTCCTTTATATTCCTTTCCGCAGCTGCATGGGATAAGCGTACACACAGTCTTTAGTCATGTTCCTCTCTATGGGGGTCTCACTCGTGAGAGATACCTGCAATGTTATCCGCAGCTTTTGAAGGTTGTCCCTGATGTTATATGGACACAGATCCTTTGTATTTTCTCTGATAACCCCTTCACATAAGGCAGGCAGACTGTTTTTCTTGTTGTCCTCCTCCTCCTCCCCCTCCCTTGTACCCGCCTATCCCAGTTTTTAGAGGCTGCCATGTACCCTTATATATATGTGTGTATATATATATGTATATGTATATATATATATATGTATATATATATATATATATATGTGTATATATATATATATATATGTGTATAT